ATGTCAAGGTAATTTGTGCTTCCTTCTCTCTTCTGAAATCTATGATCATTAGTTTTTCTCTGACTTACAGTCTTTTTTATATGAGAATTATTTCATAATGACCCATTTAAAGTCATCAATATAGTTCTGGTTGTATTTATGGAAGGGAAAAATATTAGCCAATTATAGGGAAAGGAGATAGATGTACTGGGTGGTTTTGTGTGTCAACATGACACAAGCTAAAGTTATCAGAGAAAGGAGTCTGAGCTGAGAAAATGGTCTCCATGGCCTCTGCATCAGCTCCTATGCCCAGGTTCCAGTTCTGCTTGAGTTCCTGTCCTGACTTCCTTCAGTGATGAATAGCAAAGCTGAAGTGTAAACCAAATAAACCCTTTTCTCCTCAACTTGCCTTTTGGTCATAGTATTTCATCACAGCAACAGAAACACTAAGACAGTTTTTTTTTTCAGTTAAAACAAACAAACAAAAAACTTTATTGAGATGTGATGTCGTGATGTGTGACTCACGTGTTTCCAATGTGAGTATCTAATATCTAATGTGCAAAATCACTGAAGACATGGTGCTGTGTATAATTCTCATGACTATAATGAGATATAATTTTCTAAGAAAGCAGAACATTATTATACCATGGTCTTTTTTTGCTTGAAAGTATTTATTATTGTAAAATTTAATGTATATAATAATCATAACATGTATTTTTTATTTAATTGTAAATGAAATCATACTCAAGATTGAAATAACCATAAATATGTTTTGCCTATGTATATGTTTGCCATTTTGTTAACAGTCTGTCTGGAAGTGGGTCTTGAGACCCTGTTAGAAAAACTGATGAAACTCATAATAGACAATTTGACTAGTTTCAAAAAAAAATCTTTCCCCTAGAGGGCATGATTTCTGTCACTGAGAACCAGTCTCCACAGATGGTGGAACCCTTGAATTCCCCCCACCCCCTTGCTTGTTTCTGCTTTGCCTTTGCATCTTGCATCCTCCGATGGCACATAATGGAAGAAGAGGAAAAACAACAAGCGTTTTCTCAGCTGGGGTGTGGGCCTCCATCTCCATAAGTTGGAGCCATTACCTTATCTTTTTTTGTTTGTTTGTTTGTTTTTAATTTTTCCATTCAAAAATTTACACTTCCTCCCCTCCTCCCATTCCCCTCCTGTTCCCCCACTCTCCCTCCTCCCTCCCTCTCCCTGCTTTCCTGTGGGAGGTCCAAGGCCCTCCCCGATACATCCAGGCCTAGGAAGCTGTGTGCATCCAAATAGACTAGGGTCCCAAAAGGCCAGTACAAGCAGTAGAAACAAGACCCAATGACTTCTCATTTAGCCCCCATTGTCAGCCACATTCAGAGAGTCCAGTTTGATTGCATGCTCGTTCAGTCCCGGTCCTGCTGGATTTTGTCAGCTCCCATTAGATAAGACACACTGTCTCAGTGGGTGGACCAACCCTTCGTGGTCCTGACTTCCTTCTTCTGCCCTTCAACTGGATCTTGGGAGCTCAGTCCTTGCGCTGATGAGGGTCTCTGTCACTTTCTCCATCCGTCGCCGGACGAAGATTCTATGGTGATAATCGAGATTGGGCTCTGTGAGAGGTGCCATAACCTGCAAGTTTAGAATATGAGGGACAAAGAAGGATTTAGTGCTATTTGTTATCAATTTTCAACTAAACTTTTAGGTAATTCTTGAATATAAATAAACAACTTGTGCATTTATATTGATTTGGAAAAAGTGTAGGAGTAGAATCCACCCCAGAGCAGAGGACAAACGTAAATATTGAAAGCTCACATTTTCAGCCTATCATTATATGATTATGGACATTTGAATCTAAATAAGTATTGTGTCATTGGAAGATGGTCAGAGAATAAAGTAGAAGAAACTGTATCTATCTATCATCTATCTATCTATCTATCTATCTATCTATCTATCTATCTTAAAAAATAAAGAATATATAATTAAAGAATGTATGTATATATATTATTATTTATTTACTATTATTTTTATTATATTATTATATATACACATATATTCTTTAATTTTTTTACTATATTTATTTATTTGAAGGTGGGTGGGTGTAAGCATATGTATGGAGATTTACATCCAAGTGACTGAAAACACTTCCAACTTTAGAAGGTTGTCCATCTAAGTGACAAGTGCCTTTATCCACTGAACCATCTGGCCCGCTGTGTCTGGATCCCTGAAACCTTTAGCTTCTATGTAACTCTGAACATTTGAAAGTCCATCCCCATGCATGTAAGCTCTTTCTTGTGTAACTCAGTGTCCTTGAGGAGGTTGAAGTTGTGATCCCCACATTATGTATGGAAGTCTCTGAGGTTTTTAAATTTGAAAGCTTTCTAAATTTTTCTAAGGCTGTTCTCTAAAATCAAAATATTTTCATCTTAGACATATAATAAATCTGTGCTAAAATGGTGTCAGATAATTGACATGCTTTTTGATCATAGGTCAATGTAACATGGGGCAGTGATTTTATCAGCACATTTGATTTCATTCTAGCAAACAATAAGCAGATTAATGGGATGTGGTCAGAATTAAACTTTGACGGATGCCAGCAGCAGAGCCCAGATGCTGCTTCTAGGTCAAGGGTAAGCACGCATGGGGAATCTCTAATTGAGTGAGAAAAATAGGAAGGGCAGAATTTAGTCAAAATAAGTCTATCATCACCCTGATGTTTCAGGAACTCTGGAAACTTTTTGGTTACAACCAAGATTTCAGTCAGCACAAGGGTGTTGTGTTCTTATGGTACCATATTCTGTAGCTATCTGATATAGCGTCAAGAATATAATCTTCTAGGTTGTATTCTACGACCAGGGAAAGTGATTTTGACAGCTAAGAACTATGTTGGGCCAAAGGTCTGTCCATAATAGTCAATACATGCATCTATTGGTGAATGAGTACCTCAACCTAAGAAAGGAGATCTGAATGGGACAAGAGGAGTATGTACGTGATATTAAAGGAGAAAAATTATGTGCACATTTTATTTAAGAGTATGTATAGAGCTCTCTAGCAGATGTGAATGCCACATAATAAAGTACAGTCTAAAAATTTGGAGGTGCATGACTAACATGTAGCGAAGGCTTATTCTACTATACAAGCTATTACATACTCCTCATCTGTATTTCCAGGTAAAATAAATCATAGGTTTAGTAATTGGTCAAAACTATACAATTAGCAAGTTGGTTATTTGCTTTAGTGATACACTAGAACTTCATGGAACAGAGAAAATCAATTGGTAGATCTACCCTAGATCCACTAAGTCAAAATTCTTTTCAAATTTATTTTAATTAAGGGTGGCCTATCTTGTGTAAGCCTTAATAGTTATCTGTTGGCAGACCATTAATTCTTTCCTAGCTGTTTAGACACAAAATAATCACACAGAAACGATATTATTTACAATACTGTTTGGCCAATAGCTTAAGTGTATTTCTGGCTAATTCTTGTATCTTAAATTAACCCATTTCTATTAATCTATGTATCGTCATGTGGCTGTGGCTTACTGGGTAAAGTTCCGTCCCCAGCATCTGTCTCCACTGGGCAGCTACATGGCTTCTCCTTGACTCTGCCTACTCTCTCATCCTCTATCTACTTGGAACTCCCACCTTGCCCTATTCTGCTAAGCCACTGGCCAAAACAGCTTTATTCATCAACCAATAAAAGCAAAACATAGATAGAGGGACTTTCCACACCAAACTGTGATAGTAATGCATACTGAAGTGCTTCTTAGACATACCGTAGCATTTACTGCTGACATGGGGAAAGTTGTGCAACCAGCAGTGTCAGCAGGTAAAACGCATGGAAGTGTCTGAGGGTTCACAGACACTGTAAAGAGTGAGAGGGAGATGACAATAAAATTGAGCACGGTCTTTCACTTGCCAAATGAACATCTGACAGAATTGACTCTTTATTGTTGCATAATGTTTTTAAAGAGCAGCACGAGAAAACAAACCCCACGGACTCAGGTAGCATCATTAGTTCCTTTGTTCTATCTCTGTGTTGCATATGCAGAAAATTTTCACATGTATGTATGTGCATAAATTACATCTTACTCAGAGAAGGACACAATCTTGTGAAACTAGGAAGCACATAATATTTCCCTAAGTGTTTTGGGATAGAAAATACCACATAAATACAAGGAAATATGTTAGTTGTTGTGATGCTACTTAGCAGTGTTTTCCTGTAGATGTACAAAGTTATAGTGTCTAAAATACTATGTAATCTGAATATGTCCACATTTCATGAAGATATTTTCACATGGGGATTGAAATATAGATGCAAAGGAGAGAAACAGAGGACAGACACAATGTCATTTGAGCTTTATAATCCATTTTAAAAGTAATTTTATGGCCATAGCCACAATCACCAAACCGACTTCTCCATTATCCATGAGTCTAAATAGGAGAAAGTCTGCTAGAAAAGTCAATTCTTGTCACCCAAATTACATGGTAGATCAAAATCAATATGCTTCCTCTAACAGGTTTTAACTACTCAAAAAGAGTCATTCAATGTGCTGCAGCAATCACCTATAAATCCCAGGTATTGTTGAAAGTTACTTCCAAATTGTATAATAGCTTATTTCTGAATAAGTTCATTTGCTATATCTGTTTCATTGGTTCACATTTCAATCCATTCTCTATGGTAAATTTATATTGATACTTTTTATAAATAGTTCTCTTTTAATACCAGATTAAATACTCCAGCAATCTGAGGATTAAGGTGTAGTCCTCTAAATGACCTCTAACTAAACTAAAGGCATTACTTGGTGGGCAGTTTTGACACTAGAGATGAGAGTTAAAAACTACAAGTTCAACTGTGCAAGAGGCTGGAAGAAAGGAGGGGCTTTAAGTGTAAGTACTTTATATAATATGTCAACTGAACAGATCACTCCCCTCAAATGTACTGGCAGGTGTTGGAAGACAAACGCTTAACCTTAATCATATTAGGGATGATTATAAAGTCTTAAAATCCCAAGCCTAGCCTGCAGCAAGAACAGTGTTCAGAGTGTGTGCTCATGAGAAGCTGGTTACGATAGACAATTTAAAAGAAAGCCAACAACAGCTTCCCTGGTAAGTACAAAGCAGAGGGATGGGCTCCCTGTGGGTGATTTGTGCCTAGTTCAAATGTGTGTGCCAACATTGCACCCTTATAACAGACAGAATATGCCAGTGATCAACATTGAGGACCTGACAGAAAAGGACAAATTGAAGATGGAAGTAGACCAGCTCAAGAAAGAAGTGACGCTGGAAAGAATGATGGTAAGTGGGTATTCTTCCTCACACCCTGGGGGGGACCACGTGAAAAAGCATCAAGTCTTCCTGTTGTGTTTTGTACATACTGGAACAGTTCAATGTACTTACAATTAAGATGTTTGTGACAAACACAATCAGAGATAAAGAATGTAAGAATTGAATTTATTTAGAGAGTTATACTCTAAGTCAAGGTGTGGGAAAACTATTGTCCCTCGCCCAAGTGCAGTCCTTTGCCTGTTTTTGTATAACCACTTAGCTAAGAAATTTTTTGTACTTTTACAAAAAGGCCAGGAAGAAAATAGGGTAGATTATGAGACAGAGACTGTATTTTATCCATGCATTCAAATGGAAAAAGGTAGTGTGGCATTTGGTTCTATTTCTTTGAGTTCATGGATTTCTCTTCATTTTATGCAGTAATTTTATGTTGGTGATGTATTTTAAAGTATGGCCTCATCCTCTCCAGCCCTGTTCTGATAGTAGCAAATAAGTATGCTCCATTCTTTCTTTGCAAATAAAGATGATTTCAGCCAAAAGAACTCACTGGTTTCTCCTAAAAGCATCTGATAGCTCTTGAGAATAGTGACCCAGAGGCTCTGAATTAAATAAAGTAGAAAGGAAAAAGGAACAGGAAGCTTTCACCAAACCTTGACTGAATGTCCAGAAGCATAGATATGTGCTTTGGGTAGCTTAATTTACAAAAGTCAATTTAGCAAAAACTCCTCCATAAGTGATAACAACATATATCAAATACATGGAATATATGTGAAAAAGTATATATTCTTGTCATGTACAGTTCAATTCTTATTCCTAAGCAAATAAATTTAAGATATTTATTCTTTTATAATTGCCTCCAACTGTCCATTACTATTTCCATACAGGCAAAGCCTGTTTTTGGAATAAAGATAAGAAGCACAATAGAACACACAGAAGACAGGCTAAATAAGGCTTATCTTATTCACAAGATCCTGAGCATTCTTTGGTCAACAATTTGGTTGTTTTGGGGTTTATTAATCAGCTGGAAGTTTTTATTTGGGTTTAACATGACATATACTACCACCCACCTTTCCACACTACTCCTAATTTTTTGCTTTCGGAAGTTTAAATACCGATATTATATTATGAAGCTCACTATCTTTCCTGTCCTCTCGTTTTCCTCTCCTATGTCCTCTGGTATAGATTCTTTCTTTTTTTGCTCTATGTTTACACACACAGACACACTTCCCACTAACACATTTGCTATTTTAGTCTATCCTGGCTGCTGTAAGAGAATAGCACAGATTGCATGCTTCACCCCAATGGCAAATCATTTTGCTGCTATTTTCTAGTCTTTAAACTGTGCTGGTTCAAAGTCAGAGCCTGTTCCCTCATTTCTAGGTAGTGTCATTTCAGTGTGTCCTTACCTGTTGAAAAAGGTGAAGGAGTGTGCTGGTGCATCTTTCATCATGGTGTTAATCCTGATTATGAGGAATCCTCAGGATGAAAGTAGCCTTCAATGCTACTTCATCTCCATGTATTATATTTATATATGTATATGATACATACGTGTGTATATATATATATGCCTATGGCATAAAATTTTATTGAAGAAGCATTAAATCATTTACATAACTGCACTTTCAAAAATATAGTACATCTACACTACTGTCATAAAAAGCACCAATTGACAATAAAACAAATTGAGGCTAAAAGTCATGAATAATTTGAACTCATTTGAATACATGCCTGTGCATTATATAGATAAAACACGTATATAGTTATATATAAAGTTACTTATATAGATAAAGCACTGAAGACTGGTAGTTTTTAAATTGTAACTACAAAGGTATGAATAAACGAGGAGTAATTTTATAAATAAACTACGATTGAGTTCAGCACACTTTTGTTTATTGAGTGACAGCTAAGTGCAGGCTCAGTTCTAGATGCCTGGAATATACTGAAAGCACGTGCTGTACACTGGAATGAAGACTCACTGTAGTTGAATTTAAAGTTGCATGTGTACACTTTCAACAATCCAACACTGATAAGCTGTAGATTTAGCAACTGTACATTCTCTTTCATCTTTACACTATACTTTTAGGAAGAGGAAGAAGACTTTGGTGCAATTCCTCACTTGTATTTCCAGGTGGACTTTGATCCCTGGGTCCTCCCTGTCTTAACAACAAAGTGTCCAGGAGGGACCAGTAACAGGAGGGTCAGTTTCTATCATCTGGAGACAATGGGTAGGAAAGCATGGGGATGATTTGCTTTCTGTCCTGAAAAGTGTATGTGTGCTGGCAGAAAGCAGATGAAATCATTCTTTTTTTAAAAGATGCAATACAGAAATGTATTGTAATAAAATAAACAGTTCTGGAGTCTGTAGAATTCTGTTTTAAAACAATTGAGTTACCTCTCTCCCCTTCCTCTTAGGTTTCCAAATGTTGTGAAGAAGTAAGGGATTATATTGAAGAAAGATCTGGAGAGGATCCTCTCGTGAAGGGGGTTCCAGAGGACAAAAATCCCTTCAAGGAGCTCAAAGGAGGATGTGTGATTTCATAGGTGGTCGGGGATTTTCTTAGAATATTTAAAATTTTAATGATCATACAAATTCCTATATAATTAAATTTGCATATGTTGTTCAAATTTATAAACTTTAAATTTTAATAAAAATGAAGATGTAATTATATATTTATATATTCATGTTTTTGAAGTATTTGGCATAAGGTCTAACACATAATTAACAGTAAATATCGATGAATCCTTCTTTAGAAACAGTGTATTCTGAGTTGCCTGAATGATTTTATGTTTCGTTCCTTTCCTGTCAATATTAATCATATTCTATCTAGATCTTTATAATTCAGCATATATTATTCTCAACATTACACTTGCTTATAGCATTAGGAAGTCTTACTTTGAAACACAAATAATCTATTTTGGCAAGAAACAATTCATAAATATTTTTTATTATTGAAACTTTATTGTTTGTTTCTCTTTCTCCCTCACTTAATCAATAGGAGTATTGTTAACACAACCCCATCTACATCCCTACCCAGTTCTGACTGTCAATAATGGTGTGACTTTTTTCCAGAGTGTTAGCTGTCAACTGGATTAAATTCATTCTATGGTCAGAGAACACAGCGAATTTAGCCAGTAACAGAATAGGAAGTTATGAGCACACAGTTAGGCGAATGGGAACTCTGTGCCACTCTGCTGTGGGACCAGCTTTGGTTGTCTCATCCATTTTTCAAAAGCACCTTTTCTCCTCTAAGAATATGCAGATAATACAGGTTCTGGTTCCTAAGTTCATGGAGTTGAAATCATGTGATTAAAACACTCAGCTTATAATGTCTGACACATGGTGAGACCCAATAACTGTTTGCTAGGAAATATAACTGGAAAATGAATTACAAAACAAAAACAGAAAAAAACCCACCAAACAAAAATCATATCAAAATGTTCTAAGTTACAAGCCATTCCATCTCCACAGCATGGTGAAGGCAAAACACAGGAAAAAAGTGATGCTGCCATCTTGTCTCTGCTTCTCTGGGAAATGACAAGTGTCATTAACCAAGCCAGACTATTTTGTTATCATTGTTTCCTTATTGTTGTATCACATGGACAGTGAATTTTGAATGCTTCACTCATCAGAATCCTCCAATGCAAAGCAATAGCCATCATTTTGGAGACAGAATGTGAACTGTCTACTATTGGTTCTGGCAGACATTCTGAAGTCAGTGTGGTGCTCTCCAACTAGATCATAGGAAATACTCAACACATATCTTTTGCTCTTCATCCAACCCATTTTCTGCCAAACAAGGAAAACAGAACAGATACTGAGGAGTAAACAGGCAGATGTCTTGGGTTAGGACTTTGAATTACCTGCTGAAGACATCAACATCCTCTCCTGCAGGTCTTCATTTATGATACCTTATGTCATAAGACTCCAGGGTAAATTACACAATGCCATCAATTTTTTTTCTGAGGAGAAATTACATTTCTGTAAACAGAGTTTCTATCCCACCCAGTCCAGCAGCCATTCAATCCCCAAAAAACACACAGAAGCTTATATTAATTATACACTGTTGATCTATTAACTAAGGCTTATGATTAACTAGTTCTTACAATTTAAATTAACCCATAATTCTTATCTATGGTTAGCCACATGGCTTGGTACCTTATTCAGTGAGGCATTCTCATATTGATTACTCTGCATCTAGTTGGTGACTACAGACTGAGCCTTTCAGTTCCCCAGAATTATTCTAGTCTGATGGTCCTGCCTATACTGCCTGCCTGGCTACTGGCCAATCAGCATTTTATTAAACCAATACAAGTGACAAATCTTTACAGGGTACAAGAGCATTATTCTACAGCACTTCCCCATTTTTCTTTTAATGACTCTCAGCATCTGGCATGGGTCCACATAGGAACTAAAAAAGGTATAAAAAAAATTTAAAAAAGAGAGTTTCTAGCCCCGCAAAACATGAGCCAAACACAGATAGGCTCTGTTTGCTGGTAGCCAGCAGATGTGAGTCTTCTTTAAGAAATGGCTACTTGGTTTATGTTTCTGGCACTGAAGACTCTTTTGAGAGGTCCTGGTACAGTGCACTTGAATGAGGATTGTGGGCAGCATGCTGCAAGTTACTTGGTGGGCCAACTGCTCCCCAGATTTGGGGTGGTAAACATGGCTCCCAGAGCTGGCAGTAAATGAACTTCTGCCATATTAGAAAATCAAGGATGTTAGAACCAACAGGTAAAACAACTCTGATCCTAGTCATGCCTACTTAAGAGTTTAAAACAGGGATCAACGAAGGATTATAAATTTGCAATAAAGACATATCAGACAAAAATAAACCTCTGAAAGGGTCATGGTGTGTTTTTAAAAATGTACATAAGATTGAGCAAGAAAGAAAATGGCTACAGACAGTTACTGAAAGAAATAGCTTTAAAAAATAAAGCAAAGTCTTCAAAGAGACAGGAAAAGTAATTTAAAAGAATACAAACGGTCATAGATTAAAGGAGTAAAGATAATGTAAAGATGATAACTAAAAATAATAGATTAAAAAAGTAAAGAAGCCATATAAAGATGGAATATACTTAGAGAGTCTGGATTAAGTATATTATTGTGTTTTCTTCAGATTATTTTTGGCTGCTAATGAATTAACTGCTGAAAAATATTTGATTCTCAGAGCTACTAAGATAAATCAACATATATATGGTTATGTTACTTTGGAAAAGAGGTTCTGCTTTTGTTTCCACAGAGGATGAGAACCTATGGATTCTCTCCAGGCAAATATGGTTTGTTGGAACAAGACCCTTCCTTCCGAATGAACTTCATGAACCCTTAAACTACTTTGCCCAACAAACAGTAGGAAGCAGTTTAGAAAAGAAATGCCCAAATTCTCTAAATAATTGTTTATAAATATTTGTTTTCATTTAAAAAGGGATGTGATATAGAAATGAACACTTTACTTTGGTATGGACTTTGGTTTATTGATACAAATTTAGGGTCAATTTCATGACATATGTATTTCTACTCTTGTTTAAGATACTATGCTTGTACAGTTCATTTAAAAATGTAATGTATAATTAAAAATTGGTGATTAATAGATAGTCATTTATAATAGTCAAACTTGTAGTCATGTTAGTTAGGTTTCGATGTATGCAGAAATATATTTCAGTTAGATAGATAATCCTCAACACCTCAAAGACTTACAAATTATGGCATTTAAAATGTTTTAAGAACTTAGACTTTTCTTGGTAGTGAGACATGTTTGCTTCTGGCACCAACTACTTCAGAGAGGTTGATGGGCATTGAAGAAACTTGTTATGAAGTTTGCCGTCAATGTGACAAGGCTGGCCATTTGAGCAAGAAACTGCTTTTGCCTGGACTGCTTGATGATATGCTGTATTAACTGGACATGCAGGACCCATAGAAAAATTACTGCTGAACTTGCCTAAAGAAAGTGAGATAGCCCTTCAGGGTTCCTGTTTCATGAAAGAGTCTGCCAGACATTCTGAAGGACACAGAAAAAAGTGACTGGCAAACTGCCAATTTAGGCAAAACAGTTTTTCAAATTTCCTGCTTCATGAAAAAGTCTGCCAGATACTATGAATCTGCAGGCTGAAGCTTGATGCCACAACATTACAGAACTTTGGGTGACTATCCAGACAATAAGATATCTCCATCAATTCTAGTTTTAGAAGTTACTTACAATGTACTTCCTGTTTACTTAGGTAATATTATATCCTTCTGGAGTCTTTGATGGAGTTGAAGACAGATAGTTATAGTTTTCCTTAGCTATGATAAAAATAAAAATAAATATGAAATTTTAGACTCACAAAGATTAAAATAGATAAATATTTTCTTTAATTTTGCCAGATACAAATAAATTAAATATTGTTAAGTATAATCCTTGCTTGATACCTCTTTATTTATATGCAATTTTACTATGTTAATGTTAAAACCTTCCTTTTTATTTAGATAGTAAAGGGGGGGGGATAATGTAGGATTCTTCTCTGAATGCTGTGAATGTTTTATTACCATTTGTTAATAAAGAAGATGCTTTGGCTTATGGCAGGGCAGAATATAGCAAGGTAGGAAATCCAAGCAGAGACACAGGAGGAAAAAAGGCAGAGTAAAGCAGATACTATGTAGCTGCTGTAGGAGAAAGACACCAGAACTTTACTGGTAAATCACAGCCTAGTGGCAGTTCATAGATTATAGGTTAATTTAAGATGTAAGAGCTAGTTAGAAATACGCCCAAACAATTGGTCAAATATTGTTGTAATTCATATAGTTTCTGTGTGATTCTTCAGGTTGGGTAACTGTGTGACGAGTAGGGAGTTTCCATTTGCATTTTTTTTTCCTATTTAGAAGGACAAAAACCCATCCCACCAATCCCCACCTTTTCATATACTTTCCTCAGTCTCTGTTTCTCCATCATATTATTTTGTGGAATTATTTATTGAGTTGAATTCTGTCTCTTGTTTTCTACCTACGAGTTAGTGTTTATTTAACAAAGTGTTCCATATTTTCTGTTCTTTCTAATTAAATGCAAAATCTTTGTTATGATATTTGATAATATGCAAAACATACTCTAAATTGTCACATGTGGTTTCTATCCTGCAACTTTATATAGATTTTGAAGTCTATAAAACCCCTGCTCTTATATTGTATTAGAAATTTTGGATAAACAACTCCAAGTCTTTGAAATGTATAAAGCAAACGAGGAGTGATCTTTATTTGGGTATTTATGTTCCCTTAGTTCAGAAATAGACACATGGAAGGCTTAATAAAATGCATCATTGTGATGTCTGTAGAGTTCCTGTAAAGATAACAAATAGCTAATAAGCTGCCTTGATCTTCCCAGTGAAATTTGGTCACATTGGTCCCCACATCTCAAATACCTCTCCACCCCATTTTAGACCTTTGAAAACTGTTTTTTTCTGAGATAATTTCTTTTACTCCATCAAGATTATTTTTATGTACCTCTGAAGTCATCTAATATTTTTTACTTTTCTCCACATAATTTGTAATCTTAATTTTAATGCTATATCATAATTTCAGCCAGCCTCTTAATCTTTAAAACTGCACAACCTAATAATAAGTTTTTTCTAGAATTAAACTGACATCATTAATATTTAATCTAATTAAGAACAGGAAACTACAGTACTTGTCAAGTGTTTA